ATATATATGTATATATATATATAGTACCCTTATCAAATGAAAAAGTTATGTAACTTATATGTGTATATATATACATATAAGGGTACTATATATATATACACATATGTATAGTACCATATGTATATATATATGTATATATATATATAGTACCCTTATCAAATGAAAAAGTTATGTAACTCTACATTTATCTTTTTACCTAAGATACCAGGAAACTCAATATCAAATTCAGCAACCAATCACAGTGAATAAATACCCTCACTTTCAACAATACGTGATATCTAGTCTTTTCCACTGACTTTGGTTTTCAATTTCTTTTGAACGACCTCACTGAAGTATCTTTAATTATAAACCACCACAATTGCTCTTTAGAAAATGATAAAATTTAATATACAATTTTATAGAATATAGTGTTACATAACTGCTAATTATACGTGAGCCACTCTCATTAATAGCATCCTATTCATATGCTGCACAAGTAACTGAAACTTCACAAATCGCAAAGATCCAAGATCTAATAGAGAACAGAGCAATAATATTCACCTGTGAGGAAATAAGCAAACATCACACTTTCATAAGCTGCCTCATCATAAATGGTCAGGTACTGAGAAGAAAATGGAAGTCTCCACAGCAAGGCCTAATTCCATTTGTCTGTCTTGGCCATTTAACCTCTGCAACAAAGAGTAAGAGGCAGCTTATCAAAAAAATGAATCTAGTAAGCAGCAGGATGATTTTTCCTTTTGTAAAATTAAAGTTTTACATGCCTGCCAGGGGCAGCACTCAATTACTGAGAAGTTCCATCACACCCACAGTGGACTATAACTGAAGCAACTAGCCCACACGTGTCAGAGAACTAGCCCGGTCATCTCAAAGCATTCATGTCTAGACGGCTGCTGCTCCCCAAGTCCCAGGTCCTGTAAGCCCTGCTTCGGTCACTTTTGTAGAAATGTATCCACGTCCTGGAGACTATAGCAGGAAATACACAGGACAGAGGTCAGGAAATTTCCTGTACCAAGAAGGGCCAAGGAGGTCAGTCACATAACTGGTATTTACTTTTAGTCTGCAATAAAAATACACCCATCGCCAGACAGGGAAGAAGGAAGAAAGGGAAAAAAAAAAAACCGTGTTTGTGGCTTTCTGCTTATTTGTTAGGGCAGGGAAATCAAATATAAGAACTCGAATGGCAAACTGAGAACAAAGTTGGGAAGCAAAAGCCATTAGCCCACAAGGGCACCTTCGTAATGTAGGCAGCCTGGGCAGTTTCCACCTAAAGGGCTTCACAGCAAGCAAAGAGAGACAAAAAATGAGCTCAGGAAGCACTCACAGACTTTCAAAAAGTCTGCTCCTCCCAGATCTTCAAATCAGAGAGCGGCTCTCAGAGAAGCACCAGATGGTGGAGCATTCTGCTACCACGATGCTAGATTTGCTGGCAGTGCTTTTTTCCCCCTATCAAGGGCAGAGACCGAATTCTTTTGAACTGTGTCACCAAGCACACAGCCCAGGGCACACAAGGGGCACTCAAAAACATCTGTTAAATATTGATTCCCATTTATACTGACCATTACACAATGTGGTACCCAGACTGTTTGCTTAGTGCTTAGTGAAGAATTCTCAGAATGTTTTACAAATATCTCCTTCCATTTATAACATGAGATGACCAAACAAGGTGACAGGACATGAAGACACAAGAGAGAGCCATCAAAGCAGGAGCACACAATCCCTTGGTGCCAACAGGCCAGGGGTGCGAGCCCCGGCCCTAGACCATCTCGAAGCATCCCAGGAAGCCCTGATCCTGCCCGAGGGGAGCCTTGCACGCTGTCCTTCTCACTTGCAGTTTCTCACAGCCCAGGTTCTCTTTCTCATCACACTCACCCTCCAGGATTTCCCAGTCTCTCACACAGCATCGCACTCGGGGACTCTTACCACAACAGTGTCCCTCACACTCTCAGCCTCTCCCGCACTTCTGGAGTCACCCTCACACTCAGACTCTCCCACCCTCAGGGTTTCTCTCTCTCTCTCTCTCTCTCTCTCTGTCTCTCTCTCTCTCACACACACACAGACACACTCTCCCTCCCTCTCCCCCCACCCCCTTCTGGTCTAGAGCGCCTGTTCCTCTCTCATCACACCCAGAGCCTCCTTCACACCAAGGTGTCTCCCACATTGTCATTTGCTCACTCAGGGTGTTTCTTGCACACTCACACAGTCACTCTCAGACTCGGGGGGTCTCTCTCTCTCTCTCTCTCTCACACACACACACACACCCGTAGTTTTTTTCACACGCTCAGTCTTACACTCAGGGTTCCCCACACTCCTGAGGCCACCCTCACGCTCGCGGTCCCTCTCACACGCACAGCGTCACCCTCCCGCACGCTCTCGCCGCGGCGTGTCTCACGTGCCGCCGGCCCGCCCCGCGCCGGACTTGGCGGGCCCGCACGCTGCGGCGCTGCAAGCACGCTGCGGCGGCGGTGGCGGCGGCCGCGCGGGGCATTCGGCCTCCAGGACGCGACCCCGGCCCCGGCCCCGGTCCCGGCCCGGCCCCGGCCCCGCTTCCCCCGCTCGCCCGCCCGCGGCCCGTTACCTCGCAGTAGCCAGGCGCCAACAGGATGCTCGCTCGCTCGACTGCCGCGGCCGCCGCGGCCGCCCAGACCCCGCCCCCGCCACGTCACGCGCCGCCGGATCGCGACAGCGCGCCCCGCGTCGGGACAGGACGCCTAGCTCCGCGTGGGGTTGGCTGGCGGCGGCGCTTCTGGGCCTCTGGGGCCGCCGTGGCCCGAGGGATCGGCCGGCCTGGCTCGGGAATGCAGTCCCAGCGTCTGCGTGCTCTTGGCTGCCGGTGACCGGGGCCCGGCCACCCTCGCTCTAAATGGCCCGCACAGCCCGTTCCTTTGTGGCTCTTAGCCAAACAGCTTACACAAGGAGCTCTAAACAGCCTCCATGCCCCGTTCACCACCAGCGCCTCCGCTACGCACCTTAGGAAGACACAGACCCGGGACCTGTCCTCCCACATTCACAACTCAGACCCGGCTCAAGTCCACGGAGGCCTCCACAGACACAGGGACACGGTTGTGATTCCGTAGCGAACACCGCCCCCCTCCCCGCCCCGCCTTCCCGGGGCTCAGGTTTGAGGACATTTTTAGGTCCTCAACTTGTGTGACCCTACTGACACCCTCTAGGGGGAGGTGCACCCTCCTGTCTTCCTCTACCCCTGGCCGCTCCTCCTCCTCTCCTTCTAGGGGCTCTTTTCATCTGGTATCTCTGGGGCTCTTCTAGGGTCTTCTGACCTCATGGGTAGCTGAGCCCTCCCCCTTAGCTTCCTGTCCACAACCTCAAGCCATGACTCTCCTGGGACATGGAGTCATTTCCCCCAGACACGTGTTTACAACTGCACACCCTCTAATTCCAGACCGACCATACCCAAACCCCTGCTCCCCATCACCCAGTGACAGGGCCAGAAATGGTCAGCACCGTGGACCCTTCCTCCTCCTGCCCCACCCTCCCAAGGACCGGCAACGGGTTCTCAAGGTTTTCTTCACTCCAGCTCTAGTAGCCTCCCAATCCCCACCCTGTTTCTTCTAACCCCAGAGGGGAATGACTTTGAATCTCCTCTGCCTAAAAACCCTTCCATTCTCCTACCTAAAGACCTGAGACAATGATCTTTGAACCCTCACTGGTATGGCCCCCTTGTGCTCTCTGCTTAGAATACCTTCCCTAAGTGTGAATGAGAGTATGTGTATATTTGGAGTCTTTAGAATCTGACCCTTTGACCCCTGGATCATTCCTTCTGTCTCCCTGGCCAGGCGGAGGAAGGACTCTCTGCTCACTTGTGTCACTCAATGGCAGCTGGTCCACTTATCCCTGCAACAAATGCATACATGACCTGCCAGCATCCAGCTGTCTGGCTTTGCTGTCTCACACCCGGTTACAACCCACCATGAAAGCACACTATGCAGCAAGCACTGATCGGATGTTCCCCAATACCATCCGTGTTCCTCAAGACCACCCGCAGGGTACATTTATTCAGCTCCATTCTTCAGATGAGTAAGCTGAGGCTCAGGGAGGTAAGGAGACTCCCCAGGCTACTTGCCTGGAGCTGGTAAAGGTCATATTTGAACCCCAGTTGGCTGGTGTTAAAGCCTGCTCTGGCTCCATGCCCTCTCTCTGCAGCTGTGAAACCAACGATGGCAGTGGGGCTGAACAGGTCAGGGGTGAGTAGGTGGCTGTAAGGCCACCACAAGGAGTGGCATGGGAGGGTGGGTATCAGCACAGAGCTAGGACTCAGGCTGGGCAGGACCTGGAGGTAAGGGTTTGCACCCTTTTGTGTTGTTATCCTTTCACCAAGGCCAGCAATTGCAGCTGGACCCATGTATCGCTGGGCATCCTCACCCTCTCTGGGCCACCCTTCTTCCAGGTTTGGCCAATAACTAGCGCAGTGAGGGTTCAGAGCGCCCTCTAGTGGTCCAGAGTGTATTAAAGCATAAAGCCCAGGCTCGGTGGAGGAGGCAGGAATTGGGGCTCTCACCACCTCGCACTGCCCTAAAACTCCTCTCTGAGCTCCGTACCACAGACAGTCCAGGATCCCATCTCTATACATGTTTCCCTGTATCAGTCTCTCTGTTTCTCTGTCTTTATCCATCTCCACCGACTCCCAGTCTTGGTCTCTGCCCATCTTGGTCTCTGTCCTAGTCTCAGCCTAGTTTCTCCTCCCTCAGTCTCTGTAGGGAGAGAGACAGATGGTGGGCAGATAATCTGAAGAAACGAAGTAGATGGGTTGTGTCTTAAAAAGAACTCTAAGATCAAAAGATGCTGAGACCTGAAAGTTGAGAGAGGACAAAAAGGCTGGGAAGGAGAGTCCAGCCAGGGTGACCTGCAGGACTGCCCCCGGCTCTACGGCAGCACGTGGGGCCTGTCGGCCAAGCAGGAACAGAGGGAAGGCAGGAGTCACATTCCAATGGGAATGTTTCAGGTCCTGGTTCTTAATCCCAGCAGAGGAAGCCGGCTCCAGGACATGGGGCAGGAGGATAAAGCCCGAATAGGTGCACAGAACCCATGCTTTCCTTGGCGCTGAGAGAACCCATCAAGGCTTCAGGAAAGGTCTAGCCCCTGATTACCTGCCTCTTTATCCCCTTCACTACTCCACTACCTCCCTCCTCTCATGTTCAGAACAGAGCTTCAGCCACGGTACTTCACAGCATCCAGAGTATTTTTATTGCCAGAATCAAGGTACAGCCTGCTTAGAGCTCCATGAGGAGCCCACCACCCAGGAATAAAAGGAGAGAGAGATGCTGGGTATGTTCCCAACAGAGAAAATCCAGCTCCACAGAAACCCAGTGGGAGAGCAGCATGGTCCAGCCTGACTGTGGCTCTGGGGTCACAGCCTAGAGGCCAGACTCCAGTCCTGGCCTATAGCCACTGCCCACTTGGAGATGACTGTCCCCAAGGCAGATTCAGACTCTCCATCCATCCCTGCTATTATAGGAAGATCCGTGAAGCACCTCTGGAACAGACAGAAAACTCCCAGGGGAGCCCCAAGCCACCTGGCTCTCTCAGGAGCCCACTCGAGTTTCTGGGCTAGTCTCTGCAGACTAAACACCACTGAGCTGTCTGGTGGGAGTAGGTGCTAGGCAAGATGGGCAAGAGCTCTACCTCTTCTCAGCCCTGTGCCAGCCCACCTGGATGCTAGAAAAACCCTATGGCAGGGTGCTAATGTGGTGGTGGGGTTAACAAGAGGGCAGCTCAGGGTAGCTCTGAATGGCCTCAGCTGCTTCCTTGAGTTTTCTTCATGAGTACCTAAAAGGCCATGGGACTAAGCCCTGCTCTCATCCCTGAACCACAGTCCCAGGGCAAAGGGAACCATCATCAATACTGTGGGTAACAGCCCAACCAAGGGGATCAAGACTCCAGGGACAGACCCCCAAGAAATGGAGGGCCCCCTGCTGCCCAGTCCTGAGCTAGGCTGCTCTTGGAGGTAAGGGAGGTAGGAGTGAATGTCCCAGGACCTGGGAACCACGGAGAACAGAACCCGCCCCTGCCTGCAGGAGGAACTAGGCTGCTCCAGAAAGCCACAGTCAGGCTGTTGAGCAACGAGGCCATAGGGAAGCCAGCAGCTCTGGCCACTCACAGCCAGTAGCAAGCCTACCTGTGGCCAGTTTGTGGGAAGATCACCGTAGGGACCAGAAGCCCATCTCTGGGACCTTTAGGGACAGGGACCACAGCTCAGTAATATCCCTCACAGGAAGACTGAGGGACCAGGGCCTGGTGGGTGAATGTGAAAAGGCCACAGGGGTATGAGGAACAAATGGCCCCTGAGTTCAGGATTGGGGCCAGGTGCCAGCCGATCCGCCTGCGGAGCCAGTCCTGAGGTCACAGCAATCTCATCAGCAGCAGCATTCTTTCCAGCAAGGATCCCTCAAGTGAGGCCAGACTATTTCTTCCTTCTTCCCTCCCACAGAGGAAGGATAAGAAACAGCACTTCCCAGTGGCAGACGTGTCACAACCCAAGACTGAGGACCTTAGGCAGTCACAGACCACTCCACTCACGGGCCGCGAGAGCCCCGGAGGACAAGAGAAGCAGCTATGGCCGCACCATCCCACAGCCCTGCCTGGCATGGGGATCAGGGCCCAAGGAGCACACGTTTCAGGTAGGCCAAGGTGGTGGCACTGGCCAACATCTCTATGTGCTCACTGCCCGGCAGTGCCTGCAACGACACTTGCTGCTCCTGGCGTCCGCGCCAGGCCTGGCACTGCAGGGCACTCTGCAAGTTCACGGTGCCATCGCCGTCACCAAAGCAGATTTTGGGATCGCGGTCCGGGAAGCTCTCATAGTAGAAGGAGTCTGGCGTGGGGACACCGGTGCCGTAGAGGCAGTGCAGCGGCACGCCGGGAGGCACTGTGGCTTCAACCAGCCCCTCCGTGTCCTGCCGCATGAGCCACCCATCTTTGAAGCTGATGTCCTGGAAGAAGCGGCGATAGTCCCGCAGCGTGTAGTTGGTTGTGGGGGTGTGCACGAAGATCTTCCCAGATGACCAGGTGTAGTTGTAGGGCAGCAGCCAGCTGGTGGAGACGGCAGATCGCTGCTGCTCCCGGATCTTCAGGGGCCCGATGACTGGGATCCGATTGTTGTCTCCTGCAGGGAAAGGGCTCGCTCAGTCTGTGCTCAGGCATGCACACTGGCTGGGGAGCCCGGTGCAGCCAGGGCCTCTACGGGGGCGGGGAGGGGCGCAGTCAGCAATCCCGCACCTCCATACTGTCATCTGCATTGTAACTCCCATGTTCCCCTTATTTCTGCTCTATCTGGGAAGCACGTGAGCGTGATTTCTTTCTTTACTTCTGTACTTCGTCACCAGGGATTTAGGCAGTGCATACCCACGAGGTGATTCATTGTGTAAACGGTACCCTCCACTGAGCACTTGTCACCACTTGTGGGCACTGACCTTGCTGAAGGTCAATCAGCACATTGGCAGCCCAGAGACACATTCCTCTTTTTCTTTTCTTACACTGAGTTATGAACATGTTTCCCTTCCCAGGCTCAGTCTCAGGCCTGCCGCCAGCCACCCCGGTCGTATTCCACTCATCTGCCTGTCACTGGCCCAGGCAACCAGGCCAGCAGGAGTCGAGGCAGGAGGGGAG